TGTGTGTGTGTGTGTGTTTGTGTCATTGTTTGTGTATGTGTGGCTGAAAGAGAGATGGTGTCTATATAAAGCCACAAAAAACGGCCAAAACTTTTTTTGTATATAGAACATTGGCACATCAGCCCTGATCACCAATAGCTCTTGAATCTTGTCTTTTCAAGCTGACATCTTGGTCCAAGTCTTCTACGTGTTTTTTCTATGATCTTATGAATGAAAAAGTTAAACTATTTATATGCTAGAAGATTTTTGCCTCACCAGAATGCACCAAATACAGTGCATCTGATAGAGAAACACAGAACTGGCAACTTTATTACTGAGAAGAATTACGAGGCTTCAGACCTGCTCTGATCATGTATAATACAATCAAGCAACACTCACATGACGGCACACACACCTCAAGCAGGAAAGTCCAAAAATGATAAAGGGCAAGAACTCCAGCGTCTCTTGACCCTTTTATATGAAACCCTTAGTGAATTAAAATGTTAGATTCCTCAACCTGGACACACACACACACACACACACACACACACACACACACACACACACACACACACACACACGGATCATTGAATGTAACTAAATCTTGGTTTTCTTGACGTCTCCAGATTCTGAACCTGAACATGTTGACCTGATCCAAAATGGACGTCTCCACCAACAGCAGCTCGGCGTCAGTTGACTTCTTCCTGGTCGATGGCAGTCTGGATTACGAGGTTCCTCCGGATGAGATCCCGGACACCACGCGGGGCCGTGCCTTCTTCGTGGCCACCGTGGTCATCGGCGTGGTGCTGGTGGGCATCATGCTGGTCTGTGGAGTAGGAAACTGTCTTTTCATCGTCAGCCTCGCCCGCTACAAGCAGCTGAGGAACCTGACCAACATGCTGATCGCTAACCTGGCGGTGTCGGACGTGCTGGTGGCCGTGGTGTGCTGTCCCTTCCTGCTGGATTACTACGTGGTGAAGCAGCTGTCCTGGGACCACGGCCTGCTGCTCTGCGCCTCCACCAACTACCTGCGCACCGTGTCACTCTACGTGTCCACCAACGCGCTGCTCACTATCGCCGTGGACAGGTCAGTTCACCGGGGTTCATCATCTGGGAGCAGGAACATGATCAGAGTTTTACTTAGGAAAATATTCTGTTAGAATAATCTCAGTGAAATCCGCTGTCTTCCTCCAACAACTCAAACCAGACTTGAGTGAGACGTCGCAGTTGCCCCGTAGGTTTACATTGTACCCACAGCTGCAAAAACCAGAATTCCCCTTTAACTGTCCTTCAGTGACGGACTCTGAGTCCTGACTCGTGCCTTCGTTCAGCTGTGTAACGTCAGGTGGTTGGTTTGAGTCTCTGAGGCCGGTGATTTCGAGCAGGACGGACGCAGCCGTCAGATGATTTACATTCAGAAAAAGCTGCTTCTGGGCTTCAGCTCCTGAATCTAATCCATCATCAGCCGCAGGAGTTCGTGTTTTTTAAAGAAAACCTGACAAAGAGCCAGAAGATCAGAGCTGCAACTCAACGAAGCTCCGAACGACGAAACACAGACGAGAGGAAGTGAGTGTGCAGCTCGGACACAGTCTGTGACAGAGACCAGACTCACAGAGTTTCCTGTCATGAACAAATGTTGAAAAAAGCCGTCGTCTCTTATTCAGAACAAAATTCAGGTGATGGAGGTTCGAGATGTTTCCATTATTTTACTGTTTCTCATATTTCTGCACCAAAAGTAATGAGAAGTTAGAATGGTCCAATGTCAGAGCTTACATTTTCATAAGGACTCGTTCACTGGTTTGTTTCAGACTCGTCAGTTCAGACTGAAGCTGAACTTCAGGTGTGAAAGGTTCCTCAGACCAGAAGAGGAGTTCTGGGTCTGGATCAAACTGAACCAGGTTCTGTTGGTTCACAGTGAAAACACTTTGTTGGACCAATCACAGGAAGTAGAGACACATTAAACCATAGAAGAAGAAGAGGAAGCAGCTGCAGTCTTCACCTTCGATGATAAAATGT